GCTTTTTCGATGACTGCGTGCGGCAGACAGCATCTTGATGCTGCGTGCAGCAATCGACATGATCGTGAACACTGACCATACCGAGGCTGCTGATGCTACTCCTGCGGATGAGAATGATGATGTTGATGATGATCGTGATGATGATGATGATGATGGCGAGACGACGATGATGATGGTGATGATGAGGAGGAGGAGGAGGAAGAAGATGACCACAATTAATTACAGTGTCACACTGTCATTCATTAACTATAGACGATGAAGCTTGAGGAGCACCTCAATGAATGACGGTGATGATTCGGTGATGGAGAAAACGGAGTGGGAGAAGGAACAAGCGGATAGCCAGACACCAGCTCGGCAACATCTCGCACGAAGCAATTACAGAGTGAGAGCCACCACCTCCGCTGCACCGTCACCGCCACCACCGCTACCACCATCACCACCATCAGCAAAACCGCCCCGGCCATGACGAAAACAGCAATGACATCGATTACACGCTGCACGACGAGAAGCAGCCAAACCAGCAGCGGCGAAGCAGCAGCCAGCCCAGGCCAAGCAACACTACTAACACAATCCCGCAAGCGTAGACCTTGGGCATTATCTTAATCCAACACTCAACCCCTATCCGAATCACAAAAATTAATCATCCTGAACCCGAAGGAACATCTTGAACCCAACAGATACCAACCCTGAAGTTTTTGCAAGACCGGCCGCAGGGTTAAAGTTTCCGCCGGAGACTTTCCCGAAGGACCTCAAGATATGTAAGGGTTCCGGGTTCGGCTAGATCTAGTCTCTGTGGCGGAATATACCAACTAAACGCAAGGTTCAGGTTTGGCGTCGTGGGCTTAAATTCAGGTTTAGGTATCTGTTATCTGAACTGAGGTTCAGGATTCATTCATGTTCATGCGAGGCATAAACCCCGTGCCCAGACAACTTTGGTTCCCCCAAAGACCCACCCTCGACTCGAACCAGGGCTCCTTCTCTATAGGCCCCTCCTCCCCCTGCGTTAGAATGGGGGCTGCGGGTCTCAGAGTTCTTCTGATTCTATGGGCAAGACCAGGTTACCATGAAGTGGGACACTTTGTGGCCGAGGAACTTCAGCATGGGCCATGGCCTCTTGCGATTGAGCCCTCCCTACGCGACCACACGAGGCAAGAGTCCATACACCCAGAAAGCCTCGGATAGAGATCCCAGCGCAGCCCTGCAGCATTAGAATGCAGTTTCGAACCGCAGTTGAGAGCTGTTTCATGTTGCGCCGTATGCATACACCCTTCATCCCGAAGACGCGACTCAGATTTGAAGTTACAGCCCGAGCCCCAAACTCGCGAGTCACGACAGCACTGCCGGGTATGCTGCTGGATCATGACGAAGAGGACGGTGCCGATGGAGAAGCCACCAAACAGCGGAGATCCAGTTGCTAAGTTGCATACTACCTGCAGTCTTAGGCTTAACGTTCTTTGCTTGGTGGTGAGTCCAACGTGGAAGAGAGGGAGCGAAAATCAAAGTCTCAATTAGGAAGCTTTAGGACGCTTGCTACTAAGCGTTGCAAGAATCTGTCCAATGTTGCAAGGCCTGATCGATAAGGACCGAAAGCCCCTGTGCCCTGTAGGGTGGGACCAAGTCATCGAGGTATAGGTATGTTGATGGCTCATGGTGATCTGTGTACTGCATCGAACATGTGAGTGCAGGAGACGAACCTTTGTTCCTCACTCAAGTGGTGAAACCTGGCGTCTGTTGCATGGAGCCGGCACGAGCCGACCGACCACAACCGGAAGACGATGCAAGAGCAAGGACCCCTCCCCTCTCAAAAGTAGTGGACAGCAGGGGTAGAGTCTGTAAGAACAAAGACCATAAAATCCTGAACCGGACAAGACGAGCGCGTCTTGGTGACAAGTGTAGGGGAGACCCAGGCCCAGTCCAAGCCAATAATCCCGGTGCCTGAAGAAAACCCTGTACTTAGGACACAGGTCTAGGGCTGAAACAAGACGACCTCTCAATGACTACGGTCCAGAACCTCCGATCAAAGCTTTCCAGGACACCTTCGGCGCAACTGGCGCAAACCTATACCCTTGCCATGCAAATGTTCGGCGCTAGGCCCCCGGGCTGTGAAGATGAGCATGAAGGTGCCTCAACTGTTTCATTTCTACCATGGAGCAGACATCGAAAACTGATCAACTCTTGCGGATGGGCGGGGCCTCGATCCAACAGCTTCCAGGCTTTCGATCACTGCCGTTGACTGCTTACGAGTATTCATCTACAGCACAATTACAAAGCAGAAAGATCATTCACTGTAGCCATGAAGCGTCAGATCCTGTATCTTTAAACCGTGCACACCGGATGGCAAACTTAAACCCTGACCACTCCCTGACCTTGAGTTCTGAACTGTGCGATACGCACCCCGAGATCCCAAGACTTAGCCCGAGATTGCTAACCCGACTACCAACTTTTAACTCAACCGCAAACCGTTGCCAAGCATGCACCTACAATCCTGCAACGATTAACCTGAAACGATTTCGTTTATGAACCACCGATCTAAGGTGCAGTGCTACAAGAAGTCGGTAAAAGGTGCGGCTGCCATACGGTAAAACCATCCGAAGGAGCATCCTAGACCAGAATCTCTGCAAGCCAAAGATTATGGCCCTGCCTCGACACTCCTTGAACCCGCCCAAGCAATCGACATGCCAAAAACATACCTACGTTTAAAGATGCACAGCACCGAGTTTCAAGAGCATAAACCTGTGCAGAGGACTGTTAAAAGAAAGAACATAGTTCACCATAAAATCCCTAATGTTGAGCCCGGAGCCGACAAACTCGGCGACGCATTTAGCACGCAAGCTCGGCTCGGCCGCCATGGTGTTCGCTATCTGAAGCTCTGACATTGGGGCTCTTGAGCTTCAGGGATGTGGGGCCTCACAGGCTGTTGGGCTTTAGTGGATCTGCGTATTTTGCAGGCTGTTAGTGCTTCAGGGTTGAGACATTGCGCGGTTTTGAACGTTTTTGGCAGTGTAAGTAAGAGTCTTGTCAGGCGCTGCACACCTCCCGAACACGGGCATGTGAAAGATACGGCAATCTGCATGCAAACCCTGCACCGGTCTAAACAGGTCTAACTTGTGAAGATGAACTGAAACCGTGTGAGCCGGAACACGTGCTGAACCCCACCCCCGAACATCGCGTAACTTAAACCAAAAGGCTCAAGGCCCCAGCTCCACTACTGAGGCCACGACCGCAAGAGCCGCGTGATGCGTGCAAGATGTAGGGTTCGGATATCGTGTGCTAAAGAGCTTCGAGCGAAAAGCAGCGGAAAGCATGTAGTGGTCTCTACATAGGGTTGCATGTTCCGGAGTTCAACACATAGCATCCCCTGCTTCGCTAAACCCCCAAGCACTCCTAGATGCTCAACTCGGAGCCCTACTCTCAGAAAGCCTGGGGACTTTTGTTGTTCGGTCGAGATTCGTATCTCCTTCTGAATGCGCAGGGTGCCGGGCTCAGTGTTTCAGTTCTTCACTCGCATTTAAGATTGAGGACTCGAGGTTAACAAAAACTGAGAGCCCGAGCCGTAAGGCATGTCACGGTAGCTTCGAAGATGGAAGTCCTTAAGTTATGAAGCTTGTATGCTCGAGGCTGGAAAGAGCCACGGGGACTCGGAAGTTCTGTGAGGTTCTCGACTTCTTGGCGCGCTGCAAATCCAAAAGTCACAGACTTCAAATTTCTGAACACTTTTTGGCTTGAGGTGCCTGAGTCCAGCCTGAGCCATACGAGTACCGCACATCATTCGGTGGGCCTCTACGTTCTGGGCAGAACCTTTGACACCGCGACAAGTTCGTTGCGCTGGTCTAGTCTTACGAAATCATTCGAACGTCCTTCGAGCCTAGAGCCTTAACACTGAAAGGAATGTTCTGACTCCTTTCACACCCAAAGCAAACGGCAATCCAAGACCCTGCGCTTGGATACACAAAACCCACAGGCAGAAATATCCCGTACTATATCGCCACTCCATACTACAACGCCTTGCACTATCTTGTACTTTCGCTGACCCAGAACGGTGGCCGCGCCTGCGTCTTCCTCTCCCATGCAGCCGCAGGCCAGGGTGTGAATTTGAGTGCTGTTCTTCTTGAGTGTGTCTGCTTGCAAAGTTGCCGTGAGTGCGCAGTTTGTGCGAAGCAAGACGTGCAATCATCACTGCAGCCGATGCAAACGACTGGTGCCACATTGTCTCTTGTTCGCAGGTTGGGAAGCCATCCCGCACCGAAACCGGGCCAGTGTGCACTACGCGTAATACTTGTACTCTCGGTTTTACATCCTGGAGCTCGTATTCTTGAGTTTTCCGGTTTGCACCGTGGGCCAGTGAAGGGCCATCGGTCCGATTGTGGTAAAGTCTGCAGTTTTGTGCAACATTCACCTTCTCTCAATCCCTAAAAAGGTATTCCACAGGCATAACCACTGCATCTGAACATGAAAGAATCTGCAACATGGCTGTAACTCAGACCCGCACTCGTATTGTTTTACAATCCTTCTGGATACATATACACATATACATGTACATATATATATATATATGCATATATTAACTGATCTGTTTATACACATATCTGTGCATTTTTATGTGCGTGCTAATCTTAAACTAGCACGACTAGTAATGATAATAGGGATGTTATTATTCATATTGATCCTAATTATCTTAGTTTAGTAATTTACAACTTACTGTAATGATGATGATGATGATGATGATGATGATGATGATGAATAAAGACACATGTAAATATGTACATCTAGATACACAAGGACGAAAACGCATCCGTCCATGCATTCAGACATACCCCTCTACCTGCATACGTACGTAAGTATGTCTGTAGGTGGTCATGTGGCGGAAAAAGGTGAGGGATTGAGGGCTTCGGTTGTGCGACAACGGGGGGGCCGTGTTCCTGGCAGCCTTTGGATTCAGGTGCTTTCGGGGCTCAGGGGGGCAAAGGGTAATTCTTGTGGACAGCTCTCCATGTCCCTGCCTCGACGCTGCATAGCCTGTTCCAGGACTGTTTGCGTGTTGCAGAGGATCTGACGTCCGACTTTAACTCAGTACAAAGGAAACCTAAACCGTGAACCCCGAACCCACAGACACACAAGCTGTGCGCGGACCAAGCGAAAGCGCACAAAAGTTGCATTCAGCATGACCTGGATTCATGGTACAGTGTTTGTACTTCACTGCACAAACTCGAAACGCCAAGGGCTTCGGTGGCCTCAGGTTGTCGAATTCTGGCTGTGTGCGATAATAGGGGAGGGATCTTTTGCTGAAGTTGTACTCATGTTGCTTCTTCCGGCAGGACGGATATCTCGCTGTCAGGCATGCATGTGGCAGGGCGAGACAACTGCAACGGTCAGAACGATGCTTGTCCTCCCGACACCGCAGATGCGGCATGCGGCCCATTGTTCCAGCATCACGGTTGACAAAAGCCCTGAAATGATGGGACAGCCTCGCCTTTGGCTGGTGATGCAGCCGTCGCTTCCTGTGCTTCCGCCTTCTCAGCTCGGGGCGTTCACAATTGAAGCCGATTTGCAGTGTCTCGAGGTAGCGTTTCAGTCAACACTTTTCGTTTAGGAATGTGGGTGGGGGGATAGAAGGTTTTGGGGTAAGAGCCTTCGAGTTTGCTTGCCTTATCTCACGGAACAGGGAAGAACCATGAGGACATTCATGCAACCTAGTGTTGCTTGCTCAGAAACCTGTGATGTAGACTTCCCTAGCTCTATCAAGAGCAGAGCTCAGTCCCGCTGCGTTCCGACTGAAGCTGTGGGCTTAAGATCTCGTCACACCAGGCGCTGCCACAACAGTCTGCCTAAAGTCAATCCTTAGTCTGCCTAGGCTGCAAAATCTCAAGATATGACGGAGTTGCCGCACAAAGCAAGGTTTCCACTTCGCATCCTGAAAGTACAACTTTGGCTCCTTCAACATGATTTTCGTGACTCTGACCGTTTGACAGCCCCGCTGACCCTAAAACCACACGGCCGAACCTCTTGTCTTATCTGGGAGTGCAAGTTGGAACCCCTTCAGACAAGTCATCAAACATCAAACAGGGTTCAGTGCGGGGAGGGAAGGCCTTTGGCGGCCGCTGGATCACTCCATCCACTATGCGGACGCCTTTCGGAAGACTGCTAGGCTTCAAGCTTAGAGAGGTTGCACATACATTGTAAAAGGTAGTAACGATATAGGTGATCAGTTGGGAAAACATGTCGTACATCTGAGCTTCAAACTGCCGGTTTGCGCTCGAAGCAAGCGATGTCCGATGGACTTGTTTGTCTTAAACCTCTCTACAGATCTAAGCTGCTCTGCACACGGTGGCGAAAAAGCTACAAGCATCAAAGCAACAAACTGAAGTCCGAAGCCCTCCCAGTGCCCAGCACAGAACCTTGTTCGCCAAGGCCCTGGCCTGAGGCCGGCGGAGGAGAGGCCTGCGCAAAACGGCCAAAAGCATAGCGTTTGTAGCTCAGGTATTGAGGCCTTCATTATGCCAGTGTAGACCCCCCAAAACGCTCCACACGTTTTGGAGACACACAGGCCTCACCGTGGACGCGGAAGCTTCGGATCTACAACGCAGTGGTTGTGCCGATGATCGGATATGGCATGGAGTCCGCAGCGCTCACTACGGCGCACCTTCACAGGCTCGAGGCCTTTCACTCACAGTCACTTCGCAAGATCCAGCGCGTCAAGGCGACCTTCTACACCAAGGTCCTCACAAACAGCCCTCACGCCCAGATCATCCGCAAAGAAGGAGTCCGAGCACTGGCTGACCAACCCCCGCTCAGTCACCACATCCACAGGGCACTGTTAAAGTATGTTTAGTCGTGTTTTGAGAACAACTCCGAGCAACCTGGAAAGGAACCGTGCTTTCACGAAGGCTTTGTTTACAGGGGAGGCACGGTAAAGGCAGGGATTGGGCCGGGTCGTCGCAGTCTTCGCTGGACTGAGCCATGCGCTGAATTGGCGTGGCGTTGGCTTGCCCACACCCCACATGCCCCAGCTAGTCCCACTCGCGTTTTTCCTGATGGCTTCTTGCAGCTTCACAGGCTGGCTGTAAACCGTCCAGTCTGGCATAAGTTAGTCGGGCGCTGACAACGTGCAAGAAGCTCCTCAGTTCATGCGCCGCGCGCCTTCTTTTCCTACTCGCAGTGAGTACACAGACATGTGTGAGCTTTGCATGGGGCCGCCCAAAAACTAGACCCCCCCCCAAAAGTGTCAGAGCATGTTGACGACTGCGCCGTCCACGACCCCGAGCAAGGGCGACAAGGACCACCAGGACTACCACGACGACCACCCGGAGACCCGTGTCCACCACGATCCTCTGCACAAAAAGGACTCGAGCGCAGAATAAACAGGGGAGCCGCATTGCGCACGGGTCATCGGGAGATATATGGGACAGACTATAGGACGCAGGCACAGAGTTTACGCCGCACCATAGCCGCAGACGGGGCGAGGCATCAGGGAGCGTTTTTTGGCCTTGGCACGCACGCGTTCGGCACGGATATGCTAACCGGTTCTGCCCATAAGACACCCATAGTGTTATCATGGTCTGAGGTATGTATGCATGTATGTGTACATATGTGTGTATATAGAGATATAGAGGTGTATTTGTGTGTGTTGCTACATGTGTGTAGCTATGTAGGTAAGCACGAATAAACAATTCGCTAAACCGTAGACAACACGAACAGCATATGAACTAAGATGCATGAACCAGAGCTAAAAGCAAATGAACTAATACGTACATAGGGCAACATGTATAATATGTACACATATATACAGACACACACAAACTTGTGCATCTGTATATACACACATATACATACATACCTACATACCTACATACCTACATACCTGCATGCATACATACATACATACATACATACATACACACATACACACACACACACATAAATACATACATGCATGCATACATATGTATGATTATGTATGTGATCTGGCATCGGGTGTTGCGGGCATAGGTTGGGTTTGGAAAGTGTAGAAGGATTCATCGGGGTCGGGGCTGTAGAGTCAAGTTAGAGCTTGCCTATGGTGCGTGGGCTTGTGTCAACTCAGGGCATCGGACACCGCTTTGTCGAAACGGCTTCCCAGGACGGAACCCCTGCAAGATGCGGTCCTTCCGTGATAGTGAACGGAGAGCAGCCTTACGCCTTACGCAACCGGAAGACCATGTAGCATATAGACCGCAAGCCCGAAAGTCATAACATGTCATAACCATGCACGTCGAACGGCTCACACAACACTTGTTTTCGGAAACGTGCGGTTTAAATACGCTCTGGCGAAAAAAACTTGCAAAGCGCAGAGTCCTGCGCTACAAGTAGCGGGAGCTATGACGATCATGATGGTGATGGTCAGAACGACAACGACGACAACGATGATTGTGGCGATGATGCCGATCATATGATGGTGGCTTTTACAACACAAAAGGCGCCTTCGTTGACGTTGTCGAGCACAATAGAGCACAATTCTTGCATGTTGTTACTGCCAGACTTTCTCAACATCACGGGTCGTTTCTCGACTCACGGGGCTCACCATGTCATGATTCGCATTGCTGATGGAGTTGTGAGTCGTAGAACCGTGATGGCACATGGCCATGATCATTCTGTTGTATACTGTGATTGGAGAGACCCCGCATCTCTAGTTTCTGTGTCCGGACCCATGAAGAGACAAAGCTGAGGCATCCATGTGAGCCTTGAGCTGCGCGCAGACACGCCGCATGGTGGACAGGTCCTCGCCGCAGTTAGAGTGAGTGGCTGATATCTGCTTAGGGTTGAAATCCTGCACGGCGAGCCCCTGTTTCGACCATCGCTCTGAATGGGACACATCTCACTCGATGCTTCATCAGCGCATCAGGAGCTCTTGCCCCCGCTGTATGCATACATGCACACGCACTCGCACACAAAAACACAGACACACACACAATGCTATCATTAGAACAGATCCGGCCTTTTCCATAATTACATGGTGGCATGCGGCTGACTTGAATGCGCGCTGGGGCCGCGGCTGCTGCAGCCTCGCAAACCTGCACGTAGTCTGCGAAATACGCAAGGCTCAGAGTCGCTCAGAGTCTGTATACCTGCTTCCCTTCAACCTTTAACATCCCCTATATAATGAACACATCAGCAGGGGCGCAAACAGTCTCTGGGATTGCCTTCTCGTCTTCGACAATTCGACGATTCCACAGTAATAGCTTTCAACAGGGCGTATCTCTTGTAGTGAGGCCGCTTTCACTGCACGGGTGACCTTCGGCCTGCTTAGATCCCAAGTAATCTTGGCTTCGCTGGGGTTGTGAACACCTTGGGGGGTGGGGCGGGGGGCGGGGGGTGGAGAAGTGGCCCCAAGGATTGGCAGGCTGTCAGGAACGCTGTGAATGCTGTGCAGCTCGCAGCTGATTCGTCCGACAGTCCCACTGATTTCTCTGCATGGGGTCGGGGCGAAACTGTCGCCCTCGTCCGCGAAGCCACCTGGCTCGGCATCCGGACTTTGGCTTTGTCTCGAAAGGTTCTAAGCACCCCGCAAACGAAAGCAGATGGAAGCATGCCTCCAGTGCCCGGGACCATTGCCGGGGCAGGCTGAGGGGCTCGCGCGGCTTTGTCGCATGACATGTTGAGTTGCACGAGAGCGCCAGCATGCTGTCATTCTTCGTTCTGCTCTCTGATGAGCGTGAGCATGCCCCATCAAACGCTGGAGGACCATCATTTCTCTTTTCGTCGGTTTGCTTTCTGCCAGAAAGCAACAGTTACATACTGCATTATTCATCCGCTTTACTAGCATGCCACCGCCACCCCATTCATGTTTTTGTTGATGTTCGCTCGCTGCTTAAGCGCGACAGTCGCCATGCCAGCCCCGGCTCGTCCTATGTTCTCTCCAAGTGCAAGCCGTCTCACTCCACGTACTCATGCCTGCATGATGTGAAGCCGGGAAACACAGTGATCGAAGAACGACTAAACCAAGAGTAATCAACGACCAGACTTTTCGTAGTGCCTGCATTAGCCATGACCTCGCAGCGACAGAATCAGATTGTGAACACCGCCTGGACGCCCTACGCTCAGCCCGCGGAGCAACCGCAAAGTGCAAAAGCTATTCAGCGAGAGGGGTCACAGACACCAAATCGTGGACAGCACATATCCAGTGCAGAAGCCGAAACGGCATCACCGTCACAAATCACAAACGTGCCAGCTTGAACACATCAGCAGCGCTTGCGTGCAGGCAGGGTGCTTCAACTTCTCCTGTCGACCGGGGCTTGACTAAACGCTCGAAGCCCGATCCAGGGCACCAGCTAACCAGCACTCACTCTGAAGTTCAAGCAACAATCTTCGCGCTGTTTCGAGCTTCGGTGAGTGGACTCGCTTGGGCATGTCGAAGTCAAGTGCAAATGCAGACCTGGAGACCTAGATCCCGGCTCAGGTATTCGGAGTCTGCGTGCGTGACTTTGCATTTTTGTGCTCTGCGCAGCAGACCGTCAGACTTGGCGCCTTCGATCTTGACCTATAGGGTGCGGCATTGCAAACAAGGCTCCAGCTGAGGGAGACCAGAAAATAGTACTGTCAGTATACGGTATACGACACTCAAGCCCAGGGAGAGCTCGAAGTGCTCAACATGCCCAAAACACAGAGTCAGAGACCAAATCCGTAGCGGAATGGTTTACGTCCAGGAGTCATCCAGGTGACCCTTAGCTTAAGGCTTCTGAAGACGGCTTAGGGTTTCGGGTCTTGGGGTTCAGAAGCGCTTGGCAGTCGTAACACGCCTGAACGACGGCGTTGGCTTTCCGCAGAGTTCGGAACTTCTCGTTCTTTGGATCTTTGAGGACCTGTTCGTAGAGCAGGTTCTTGAAGTTAGGGATCAGGGCTTTCTTTTGTTGGCTGAAGTAACAGCACACGACATGAAGACAGAACTGGCCTTGTTCGGGATGCTAGATTCTAGATGAGAACCAGAATGAACGTACTCGGAGGAGAAATGACCGATTCATCAGGCTGTTCAATCCTAAACTCCAAGCACCTGACCCTAAACCCGTTCACACCGTGGTCTTCAGCAAACCCGGGGGTTCGAGCACACACACAGGCGAATTGTCCAAGTTTTTTCTCACAGGTGGAACGATTGGGAAGTGGCTCGTCTCAGGGCCAGTCCGACTGGGGCTCGGACGTTGCTGAAGACCTTGACCATGGTGCTGTGAGCTTCAGCATACTCCTCGGGCCTGGTGGAGGGCACTGAGATTGGGAGGGCTGAGGGACTCAGGCTAATGACTTGGGAGCCAGACGATGAAAGAAGCCCAGTACCATGTGACTCGATACCTATTCCTCAGTGAAGCTCGCAAGGTGCGGAATGTCAAAAACCGGCTCTATTCAACTAATTAGGAGCTTCATCAGGACAGAGAGCGTTGAAGCACCACAGAGACCCTCGCGATAGAATGTCTTACCCCGATCACGAAAAGAGCAAAGACCCGGACCGAAGCTCCGCCCGCGCTAGGCGAAGTGCCTCCTTGATTGCTGCCTCACGCGTGCGACACTCGATGCGAGACGCTGCGAATGTGTGTAGACCTTCGGGCCTGCTTTATACTTTGAGGCACCAGTCTAGGTTGTTTTTGGTCGGAACAAGATGCCGTGACATGGTGCACAATTGGGCTCCTGGGCTTTAGGATGTACACCTCCAAATTGACTCCAAATCTTAACTCCATGCACGACGAGCCTGGCCGGACTATGCTGAATTTCTGCAATGCACCATGGTGGTTTTATAGCTGCCGATATCTTCTCTGTAGGTACCATGGTGCCCTGCGAGCTCTGTAGAAACCTCACGCTGGGAATCATGCGATTCAGGTGCTGTCTTGCGAACTGAGGCAGCAGCACTTGAATCTACTGAAGGCTTCAGTCGGATCCCTGACCCCGCCACGCCCACAAGTTCACAAAGACCCTTGACTTTTCCAGCTGACGCTGAACTCAGATGTTCATTTCATCAACAGGTCATGCATAGCAATGCACAGGGGGGGGATCCCGGCTCGATACTCTCAAACCGTATTCAAACTCAAATCCTCGACGTGCAATGTTCACAACCTGCTATCTTGGGATCGAAGAAAGCGCGGCAGCCATGTCGCGACCCAAATGCTTAATTGCGCGAATCTACGAGCGCAAAAACTTGGGCATAGAACCCTGCGCTGTTCCTGCTACAAGTAGGCCGGAGGCAGCATTGAATATGCTGATATCCGCACGCAAGGTCCCAAACTCCCGACCTGCCGAAACGTCAAGTATTGCTCAGACCCGGCGACACTAAACCTCAACGCCCGCCCCAGCAACCGGGCATAGAGGAAGACGGCATTCTGTAAACAACAAAACCATGAGGCTGACCGTAGGGAGTCGTTCCCGTACAGTTGTCCCAAGCAGATTGCGGGTTTGGAATCCCTGAGGCCTTGGAACTCAAGAAGCCACTTTCCAAAACAGTGCAAGTAGGACCACGCAAGGCATGTGAAAAGGTCTCAGGCAAT